GTGATCTGCAACAAGTTGGTGGGGCATCAGCCCGGATACAGGATGCTCTAAGCACAGTTTTGCAGTACGCTGAGGATGTGCTGGTGAGGAGGAAGAGGGGAGAAAATGTGGTGAGGGTGGGCAGCAGATCTGGGATTTGCTAGTAAGAAGGGGAATAGCTTGGTTGGGAAGGGGTGGGGGGCACCAAGGGTGAAGGGAAGCCAGGCCATCTGAGTTACTCCTGCTTTCCATAGACAAAAAATGCATCTTTTCTGTTATAATGAAATCTCATTTTGGTGTTCAGTCTGGAAAGGTGTCAGCTGACAACACCGTGGGCCGCTTCCTGATGGGCCTGGTTAACCAAGTTCCCAAGATTGCCCCTGAGGACTTCGAGAGCATGCTGAACAGCAACATCAATGTGAGTCTTGTGGCCTACCTACTCCTCATCACGTTGGTGGAGATGTTTAAAGTGGGGCGGAGAGGTGGCCGCTTAAAGAAGGGCAATGAGAATAGCTTCTGCCACCCTGGGGTACAGGGTAAAGAGTAAACTCTGTCCTGAACCAGCCCCATAAGCCAGAATAAGGCCTGGGAACAATTCAGTTCAGACCTTTAAATGTCTGTGAACTGCAGTGTGATATACTGTGCTTAGGGGCTAGACCCAAACAGATGAAAAAGATGGGCTTTGGGGGAGTTTATAGGCTAGTTACAGTCTAGGAGGCTGCATTCCCTTCCTTGTCTCCCCTTAGCTCCTTTTGTGACTTCAGGGTCTAAGCAGGGGGTTGAGTGGCATTGGGTCCAACATCCAAGGCAAGCCCTTTGGACAGATTTCCCAGCAGGCTTTTTGGCCCTTGTTAATATTGATGCACCCTACAAAGCTGGTGCTTGTTTGGGCCACGTCAGGCAAGCATTGTTTCCTCTAAAATTCAGTCCTGTTCCCTAAGACCCTAAGACTCCTTTGGGGTCTGTAGTTTCGGGAATGTGACTTTCCTTAAGTCCCTCTCCCTTTCTCAGGCCATTAGTAGGGCAGATAGGAGAATAGAACTTATCCAGGCAAGAAGTTGTAGGGCTTAAAGAAGGTAGTCTCAACTTTGGAAACATTCCTCTTATTAACCAGCCCCACGAGCTATACCAGAAGCTTCTTCTCTTTGTCCAGATCATTCTGCATTCAGTCCTCCTGGCTCCCTTCCTCCCCAGAGTGTCCTTATCCTGTCTCCCCCTCTCCATTTGGCATTAATTCACATCACCTCATGAAAAATAGACTATGCCCTGTTTGCTCTTTTTCCTATCTTCTAATTACATTATCTTTCCTCACCAGGACCTGTTGATGGTGACTTACCTTGCCAACCTGACCCAGTCACAGATTGCTCTCAACGAGAAACTTGTGAGCCTGTGAGGAAACCAGTGAGCTGCAGCTCCAGCCAGCCGCTGCCCGATGTGGGTCCTCCCTTGGAGCAAAAGAAAGTGGATTCTTCTCTCACCATCCTCTTTAAGTTGCCTGTTTCTGTAGATGAGCTGTTAATAACTCCAAATAAACCAGACACCCCTTTTCCCTCTGGGTAAGGGATTGATTGTGACCTTTCCCTTGGGGGAGGGGGATGCCAACCTGGAGACTCCTGAAATCAAGAAATGAGTACCTTTGGAGGCCTTGGGCGAGGAAGGATTCCTCGGACCCTGGGAAGCTCCTCAAAATCCTGATCTCCACCAGCCGGGGAAGTCGAGTCTGTTCCTCTCAGGCCTCCCCGCCCCAATCCCCTCTGTCTTTATGTTCCACCAGGTCAGCTTAGTTGATGACCGAGTTGACCTGCCAGGTTAGCTGCTTCTGTTCCTCCTCAGCCTGTTCTGTCGTTGCGTCGTTTATGTCATAGAGAAGATACGTAAAATCAGAGACTGGGCTGGAGACCAGCTGTCCTTTCCACTTCTGATTCTCCTCCTGCCACTGGTAGGACTCTTCTGTGCTGTGCCCTTGCCTCATGACCCCATTTTACCCATCCTTCAGGGGGAGTGAGGAGGGTTAAACTTAGATTTGACTGAGATACTGGGGACACTGGGCTATAAGTCTAGAGGTGGAAGGTGCCTCAGAAGTCATCTATGCAACCTTATTTTACAGATGAGGAAACTGAGGCCCAGGGAGGTTGAATGAATCACTCAAGGGTTGCACAAGTAGTAAGTGATCCTTCCATTGTACTTGTTGCTGATTTGTCCCCATTTGCCCCTTGGAGATCTTCCTGTAGACTAGGAAATCCCTGCTTCAATCAGAGGCTGTCCTTTTTTCCATTTTGTGTCTTAGCAACCCTTCATAATGGTATTTTGTATTTCATACAATAGTGTTTTTCAGAGAAGGTGTTTTTATAAAGCAAGTTCTTACCAGCAATCTTGTTCACCTGTAACAAGCATGTATGTATTCACTGACTTCTTTATGTGGAGCACAGTGGCAGGTGTTGAGTGAATTGGATGAAATTCCATTCAATAAGCAATAAGTTGCCACTGTTTACAAAGGCAGAAACAAAACAGTTGATGCCCATAAACGGCAATGGAAGTTATGCCAAGCCTCACTTGAGACCCTAGCAGCACATGCTGGGCTGACATTTCACACGCACAGCTCTGGATTTCATTGTTTTCAGGGTCTCAGATCTAGGTCAGCCCTGCACTCTTAATACATGAGTGTCTTGTATCCTTGAGTGTGAGATTGGAGATTGCAGCAGTTACTTTTTGAAATGGTGAGCGAGAAGGAAAGTTCAGATGACTCTGTATTCTGCTGTCATATTCCTTGGGCATGTATTTCATATCCAGCTTTGTGCTGGGAGAGAAGGAGGATACCAAGAAACACTCCCGGCCTTCAAGGAGGTTGTAATCTATTTGTCAAGGTTGAACATGTGCGTGGAAAAAAAAAAAGCACCAGTAGAGCTTATTGGTGTTGAGAGGACAAAAAGCTGGGAGTTGGAATTTAATATGATAGGTGCAGAGAGCTGAGCCTTAAAGGATGGGTAGAATTGGGCTGTAATAAAGGAGTATCAAGTTGGTGGCAGGAGGAATGAGGAGAGAATTAGAATTGGAAAAAAGAGGTCTCTTAAGATTCTCTAATTTAACCTTCTATGTCCTGTAACAAGAAATTCAGCCAGTCAAGAAGCCCATTCAATCTGACTAATTTAAATATTGGCAGCATGGTCCAGTGGAAATATTTTATATTTATTTAATTGAAGCATTTGGATTCAAAACATAGTTCTGCCATTTTCCTACATTTGTAACTTCAGGCAAGTCATTTCTCCTCTTGGGGCATCCGTTTCCCCGTGCAAAATGAAGTGGGACTAAATGAATGACCTCTAAGGGCCTTTCTAGCTCTAAATCTCTGATCCTGTAAATGTCTACTCTGTGTAAAGCACCATCCTAGCTGCCAAAGAAAAATGCAAAGATAGATAAAATCTAGTTGGGGATTCTCTCATAGCTACAAGTCAGAAAGTTCTATGAATTGAGGGAATGGAGAATTGTGATTGCTGAGCTATTTACTATTGCTGGTCTTTGAAATATAGGAGAATGGGAGATGTTATAGGATTGGGTAGAGATGGGCAAGCGTCCTGGTTTTCAAAAGGGGATTTGTGGTGTTGGCAAGTTTGAGGTTCATAGGTGCCCTAGGATTTTAGAATGTGGCATTTTAGGATTTAAACCTAGAGGGAATTTTAAAAAATATTTCTTCCAGCTCCCTTATTTTACAAATGGAGGAACAGGCCCAGAAAGAAGAAAGGGCTTGTAGAACAGCCCCAAAGGAATGATTTGTGAGCACATGAAAGTGGGAATGTGTTCATCAAAAACAAGGCCTGTCAGATATGACTGACAACGTGAGGGATATCTGAAACAATACATCTGGATTTCATCAAGATGTTTGACAGAATCGAGATATTCTTGTGGACAAAATAGTGAATTTTTGGGTGGTACAATGAGCTGGTTTCAAAGTTGAATGAGTAGGACCTGGAGCTTTTAGAATAATAGAATCTAATCCTTTGTCCTACCTGCTTTTTCACCCTGATCTGTTCAGGATTTGATTTTGGAGTTTAGAAGACCTGGGTTTAAGTCATTTACTTAAGCAAGTTATTTAACGTCTCTGCCTCAGCTCGTCACCTGTTACATGCAGATAAAATGTTTACCTCCTTTAAACTCTTATCCTAAGACCTTGTGGTCTAGGAAAGTGTCTGGTTCTTCTCGATGCCTATGCCAGCATAGTGTGGACTGGGCAGGCCATGAACCTAGTGATGGACTATGCACCTTTATCATTTGAGGACCAGCCTAGTTTATTCAGAGAGGCTTGTCACCAGATTAGAAGTATTAAAGATATTGACAGGATTATCATGAAGATTAAATGGGAAATGCATTTAAAGCACATTAAAAATGTAAGCTATTGTATCTTTCTAGTACCTATGCAATTGTCCTAAGCAAGCGTCTTAACCTACTCAGAAGGAATTAGTGGCTATTTCTGAAACTTTGAAACAAATTGGTAATTCTTTATGAGCTGAGGAATTTCTCCAAAGTATTCTCAGAGTTGTTAAGTAACTGTTGTAATGCTGGCACTCTAGTGGATCTCTAGTCTCCTTGGTTCCATCTTCCTTTCAGTGATACAGATCACAAGCCATCCCAGCCTGCCCATCCTGAGAGACTTGTTCCTATCCTCTAAGGAGGATTCACCCAGTGTGCTGGAGGCCTTTACATTGTGAGGAGGATACCAGTGGCATGCTAGCTATCTGTCATCCATTTCCCTGATGAAATTCTTTAGTCCTCTTTGGTTCTGTGTTTCAGCCTCCTGTCATTGACCATGAATTTCTCCATTGCCCTCTGTGATTCAATTTAAGTTCTTTGGTGACTGGTGTGTTCTATAGTCATACGAGAAAGACTACCAGTAGAATATTGTTATTAAAAAAAGATGGACCTTTTTTTCTGGAAGAAGTCTCAGGTCATTAAAGAAGCTTTACGTTTTCCTGAAGGTTATTGAAACTTCTCTCGTCTTGTTTATTCCAAATGCAGGTGGACGGGCTCTCTGTGTTGTTCATCCACTTGCATGTTAGGCCTAATTGACCATCCACTTGTTTCTAGGCAGTAGACATTCTTCATCCACTTAGTTTTTCTCGTGCAGATAGTCGAGCCTGACTCAAGTTGTGACAGATCTCTTCCAGGAGGCTCAGTATTATTTCAAGACAGTGCAATGAGTATAGTGTCCTTTTTACACGAACAGGAGTGTCTGGAGGACTTCACCATACATTGAGAGTCCCTCTTGAACTTGGGCTCTGCTGGATCGTCCATCAGTGGGGAGCACCTTTGATGAGCATAGGTGATGCTGATAAGAATACAATCTGGACAACCAAAAGAGGGACACGAGAGAGGAAGGGAGTGAGGGAGAAAGGAATGATCGCACTAATATAGCATTTTTCAGTATGAAAAGTACCTTGCAGTTGTCTCACTTAAGCCTTATGATGACCTTCTGATGTAAGTGCTGTTATCTCAGTTTTACAGATAAGAAGATGAGCTCAGAAATTGTGACTTGCCCAGGGTCCGAGTTAGGATTTAAATTCAGGTCTTTGGACTTAGGTCTGGTGCTTGAGCCACCAGGATGCCATGCAGCTCTTCAGGAAGCCCTTCCTCTGTGGATTTGTAAAGCTTCCTCATCTGCCCCATATGTAGATGAATGCAAACACAAATTCCTTGAGGTTGTCCCTCCCTCTGTTCTCCCTGGACTAACTTATTTCATTTATGTGAGATAACAGCATTCTTCGTGTAATGCTAGTTTGTGTCCTCCTGTCCTTGTAGCCCTCGTGGTCATGAGTGTCTCTCTTACAAAGGTGGTATTTAGTATTGCCTCTGCCACCTAGCAAAACAAAAGATTAAGGTTTCCGAACTAGAGACCAGCACACTAGTTAGCCCTAACTGAAAGATGGAAGCAGTGACCCCTACGGGATCTCCAGGATTCTGTGACCCCTGCAGGCCAGAGATCCGTTGAAGGTCGTTGGGAGTTGTAACTAACATGGAAGCTTCAGATATTGAGGCACATAGAGAGGATCAGTTATTAAACATGAAGGTATGATAGACCTTCCACCATCCCCCAACTACCCTCCCAAGTCTTTACCCCAAACCAACTTCTTAAATCATTGTAAGTCCCTTCCCTAAATCACTGTCCCTGGACTGACTCCAAGAAAATTTTCCATCTCTCACTGAACCCTTTGTCCCCACAGAAGATTGGAGATAAGTATCCAGTATCTGTGATAATCTTGCTGACCCTTAAGTGGTTAGACAGTATCAGCTTCAGTGGAATGTATGGTATGTACCTGTTCACTACCTCTCCCAAGCCCAGCTCTCCTATAAGCAATACCCCCTACCCTACTGCCTCAAAACTCCTTTATCCAGACACCTGCATGCACTTAGACTTCATGGCCACTATAAGCCCATGGACATTCTGACTTCATATACACTTATGCCCCATGTACTCTCTGGCCCTATGAACAGTTAAGACCAATGGATACTAACCCAGGGGTTCTTAACCTGGGATTCACAATCTGCCAAGAGGGTCTGTGAACTTGGATGGGGAGAAAATATCATCTTTATTTTCATTAACTTCTAACTGAATTTTAGGATTTAAAAACATTATTCTAAGAAGGCATCATTAGGCTTCACCAGACACCAATGAGGTCCATTGACACATGAGCAAAAAAAGAATACTCTGCTGTGTACATTTTAGGTCTCATGTATCCTCAGACCCTATGTAGGCTTGACTGTAGACACCATCAGTCAATCCACCAATCAGCAAGAATCTACTAAGCACCCATAATGTCCCAAATACTGCTCAGCGATAGAAGTAAAAGTAAAATGGCCTCTGCCTTCTAGGAACCTGAATTTTATAGGGGATACAAAGTGTACACTTATAAGTAAATAATGAGTGTACAAAAATAAATACATGGTAAACACAAATACTGAGACCCCGTAGACATTCTAGCCCCATGGAGACTCTGAGCCCATGAACACTATAACCTACGTCATATTCTGGGTTCTTGGAAGCTCAAACTTTTCGTGATCCATGGACGCTCTGGCCCCAGAGAAATCATGGACGCTCCAAACCCATGGACACTCCAAATCTGTCACTATACATTCTGAAGCCATAAACACTCAGGCCTTGATTATGCTTTAGGCCCATAGATACACGAGAAATTGGTATAGAAACTGGACCTGTGATTTCATTGGAATAAGGACCTCCCAGATGAGGGGACCAGCTCTACCAATGGAGGCCTGCAATTTTTCTGAAACTTAGTCTCAGAATTGCCTATCAGGTCCCTAGGGTCACATAGCCAGTATATGTCAGAGTCAAGATTTGAACCCATGTTTTCCCAGTGGCAAGGCCAGCTCTCTGCCTATCAACTACAGTGTATTCACCAACTCTAGAGAAATGTGACTCCATGGATAGCAAGGTCATGAATTCTCTGTATGTTATGTTTATATCATGAACAATGATATCCTATGACCTAGCCTAATCTTTTCTCCAAGTTTTAATATTATGAACTCAACAAACACCAGTTAACATAACCATTTCCATACACAATGAACAGAAAGATTGTATATAAGATTTGTATCTGTTATAATGGATTTTTAAATATATGTTATATATATATTAAATTTAATGTGGTAGTACCACCATTGTCCTGCTTGTTTGTATCCCCATCTGAACTTCCTTTTGCTTTTTTCTGTACATTTTAAACATTCATTGATGAAATTTTTTGCATTTCAGTCACCACCTCCCTATTCCCACAACACTCTTTTTTCCCCTCGTAACAAACAAGTATAGTTAAGCAAAAAATTAACACGTTGGTTGTGTCTCATACTGTTATTTCCCATTATTCTGCACCTATAGACCATCCCCTTTCTACCAAGAGACGGGAAGCATGCTTTCATCATCAGTCTTCTGGAATTATAATTGGCCATTGTATGGATCAGTCCTTAAGTTTTTTAATAGTTGCTGTCCATTTACAATATTGTAGTTGTATAAATTTACTGGTTGTGCTCACTTCAATTTACATTACTAAATCTAATTTCAGTCAGGCTGCTTTCTAATTGTACAAGCAATTTTTGTTGGATTGGATACTAAGTCCAGTAATTAGAGGCCATGGGTTTATTAAATACTATGCTACTATATTCAGTTGCTGCTGGGTATTGTCTGATCTGTTCCACTGATCAACTTTTGAATTTTTTTAACCAGTACCAAATAATTTTAGCGATTACTCCTTTGTAGTATAGTTTCAGATAGGGTACTGCTAGGCTTGCTTCCTTGCCACTTTAATTCATTATTTCCCTTGAGATCTTTGACTTTTTGTTCTTCCACATGATTTTTTTTTCATAATTCTATAATATAACCCTTTGGTAGTTTGATTGGTATGGCACCAAATCTGTAAATTAATTAGATAATGTCATTATTTTTTATTACGACAAGACCCAACCATGAACAAAAATTGCTATCTCTATAATTATTTAGATCTGATGTCATTTCCATAAAAGTGAAGATTTTGTAGTTATATTAATATAATTTCTGTGTGTGACTTGTCTGATGAACTGCCAAATTTTTATACATTCTTTAGTTATTTTGAATAGAATTTCTTATTCTCTCTCTTCCTGCTGGAATTTGTTGAGAATATACAAAAAGTTTGATGATTTTTGCGGGTCAATTTTATATCCTACTAATTTATCAAAGTTGTTAGCAATTTCAATTAACTTTTTTAAGTTAATGTTTTCTACATAAATTGTCATAATATCTGCAACAAAAAAATTATCATTTAGTATCCTTTTTGCATTTGTGTATCCCCTTAGTTTCTTTTTCTTAACTTATTGCTATACCTAGTATTTCTATAATTATATCAAATAGTGGTGACCATGGGCATCCTTACTGGAAAGTCCTCCAGCATTTCTCCATTATGGATAATAGTATCTCTTATTTCAACATAGATATATTTATCATATTAAGGAAGAATTCATGTATTCCTATTCTTTTAAATATTTTTAACATAAAAGGATATTGTATTTTTCAAGAACTTTTGTGCATCTATTTATAAAATCGTGTGATTTTTATTGTTTTTCTTTAATTTTCCTAATAATTAAACCCTTCATGCATTCTTGGCATTAATTCAACTTGGTCATAATGTATAATTTTTCCAACTTTTTGTTGTAATTTCTTTACTAATATTTTACTAAATATTTTTACGTCAATATTCAAGGATATACTAACCCACTATATGCCAGTCATTCTGCTAAGCATTGGGAATACAAATATCCGTAGAAAGACAGTCCCTGCTTTTAAGGAACTTAACTCTTCCAGTAACTCTACCTCGCTTAAATGCAATTTATGCACAAATCAAAAGACATCCTCCACACCATGTTACCATTTTACCTGCCTCAAAGTCCCATGGTGACAGGTAAGTGATGAAGCAGCAGGTGCAGATATGCTAGGAGCTATAGTCACAACCCTGCACACAGGTGGCTCAGGCTATAGGGTCATCTACTCATTGGACTTAAGCAGCAGTGGGATTTGGGAGCCCACTGGGGGTCTGAGCAACTTTTTGCAAGAACCACACCGCTTTACTTCCCAGCTGGAGAATGGGGCTAGAAAAAGTGCCCTAAAAATTGTCTGCCTCACCCAAAGCTGACCTGCTTACCATGATAGGTAGGAATCCCACCCTGCAGTCAAAACACACAAAAAAAAGTACAAAAATTTTTGTGAAGATAATCCCACTCACATGGAATATGTGCACACTCATGAACAACACAAAATTTGGGACACCTAAAAGATGAACAGCTCTTGTTGCTAGAGAACTCTGTAGGTACTGCATCCAAATAACAGCCCTGAGTGAAACAAGGCTGGCAAATGAAGGCCAGCTTATCAAAGTCAGAGCTCGGTACACATTTTTCTGGAGTGGCTGCAGTGAAAGGGAATACTATGAAGCTGGCAAAGGTTTTATAATCAAAACGAATCTAGTCAACAAGCTTGTATGCCTACCAAAAAGAGTGAATGTAGAGGCTCATGACAATGCAAAGCCACTTGCAGGAAAACGCCATGCCACCATCATCAATACTTATGTTCCCACCATGACAAACTCTTAAGAGATCAAAGAAAAATTTTATGAAGACCCGGAAACCCTCATCATCAATGTGCCAATGTGCCAAAAGCCAAAAGCTTATAATTCTGTGTGATGTTAATGCAAGAGTAAGCACAGTCTACCAGACATAGCAGGGAGTGCTTGGGTGGAATGGAATCAGAGACAGCAACGGCAACGCTCACTTACTATTGAAGATTTGTGCATCTCATGACCTTCTCATCACCAACAATGCGTTATGTTTGCCTAAATGCAATAAAACTTCATGGATGCGCCCTCACAGCAAACATTGACATTTAATAGACTATGTCATTGTAAAAAGAAGAGGCAGACAGGATGTGAGAGTGACAAAGGCAATGTGTAATGCAGAGTAGTAAACAAGTCATACATAGACTTATCCTCTCCAACTTAACAAAAGCAACAGCCCCAAGGCAAGATGAATACCAGAAGACAACATCAACAGATTATAGCACTTCTCCAAGGTGAACAGTCTGTTGCTAACTTGGAGGGAAAGCTGAGCCAACACATGGAGCAGAAAAGGAGTTTACTCATTTACTCATTTATATCAAATAGTGGTCACCATGGGCATCCTTATTGGAAAGTCCTCCAATATTTCCCTGTTATGGAGAATAGTATCTCTTAGTTCAACATAGATTTACTCATCTGAGCCAGAACACTCACAAACATCAAGATTGGGTTTGACAAAAATTACGGGGAAATTCAGAAGCTGCTGAATGAAAAATGAGAACTCCATAGGGTTTGCCAGCAAGATCTGTCTCTAAGAAGGCAATATTTAACTCCATTTTGCAAGCAAAGCTGAGAGAGATGCAGAATTCTTGACTCAGTAAGAAAACAGATGAAATTTAGTTTTATGTTGATAATAACAATTCAAAGTACTTTTATGATGCCCTGAAGGCTATTTATGGGCCAAAGACCTGTGGTGCTTCACAGCTACTCAGTGCTGATGGAGCCACATTGATTAGTGATAAGGACAGATGGAGATAGGGGCCAAACACTTCCATAGTCCTCAATAGAGTCATCAAGCAATGCTGAAGTCATTGGCCATGTACCTCAGGTTGAAGTCAATCCCTCTCCAGCCTAACTTCCAACTGAAAGACAGGGGCTCCTCTAGAGTGACAAAGCTCCTGGTGCTGATTATGTTCCCCCAAAGATTTACAAAGCAGGGGC